CCGATAACAGAACAACCTTCAGAAGCATTTGAGAACTTTTGGTATTTCTGGATAGTTTATGCAATAAAAGGAGAACAGTTTAATAGAATAACTGTTAGAGCTTTTGAAAAGGCACTCACATTAGAAGAAAATTCAGAAGCATTAGAAAAGTGCTTTGAATTAATTATACAATCGATTAGATACCAACCACTTGATCAGGAACCTTTAGAATCATTACTTACAGATTTAAAAAGTGCTTGGAATAGTTACTTAGAATTTGATTGTTGGGAATTTGAGACGTCAGTAAAATCGGGAACTAATTCTAAGAATAACTCAAAAGGAACTTCCAGAAGAACATCTCGAAAATCTTCTAACGCATCAAAAATGGACGGAGATACATTCAATGTAGGTACCTCAACATCTAATAGAAGGATATCTGAAAATCAAGTTGACCCATATAGAGAATGGGCAGCAATCCTTAATAATATTCTTTCTGACCAGCTATTTAAGCAAAAATATGAGGAAATAACCCCAGAAGGAGACAAACGAAGTGCATGGGATACAATAAAAAAGGATCCAAAATATTTGTCTGAAAAACATGTTCCTAGTGATCTTGAGAAACCACACATTAGATATTATCGTATGATGAATAAAAAGGAGAAAAACAATCCATTAAGAGATTCAAATCCATGGACTAATCCAGATGACAGAGACTTAACAATTACAGAATATGACAACATATATCAAAATGATCAGGATGAAGAGGGTCTTGATACAACATGGAATATTGAAGATACAACTTTCAGTCCAATTCGAAATCTTCAAGAGAGAAGAAATATCTATCAAGACACAACTGACAACAGAAGAGAGGATACTGATAATAGAGAGGAACAAAGAGGACCAGAAGGAGGGAATGACATGATTACACAATTCTTGCAAGGATTTGGAGACTTATTGAAAGCACATACAGTAGCTCCACATTCAGTAACCCACGAAACAAGGCTAATGAATTTTCCAGAATTTAAAGGAGAAAATCAAGATCCGATTGAATGGTTAGAAGCTTTTGAACAAGCTTGTAAAGCTAATAGAGTTTCTAATAATCGTATATTTGATATATTACCCAATTATCTAAAAGGAACAGCCCTCACGTGGTTCAGTAAAAGTAATATCATACATTGGAAAAATAATATGTTACAGAATAAATCCTTTGTTCACCAATTTAAGGACCATTATTGTAGTATCTTTAGAAAGCA